GGCACTACAACTGCAAGAGTGACTCTGACTCGCAGTGGTGTGCAGTGTATCTGCTTTTGGATGACGTCCACAACGACTCCACAAAGAGTGTGGAAGTCATCGATTCGTGCGAACTATCACTCGACTAGTGCTGGCAATGCCTATGCCTTATGCCTATCGCTATCCTGTTTACTATACCTATACACTAGACATGAGACAACTCTGCAGAACTCAATGGCAACCAAATGGCATGAATGGCATGAATGGCAACACCAACCCATCAAACACACCAACACTGCACTCACTGTCAACCTCTCAGCCCTACCACTCATACAATCGCAGCACAGCATAGAGACAGACAGCCATACAGTATAGCTCTCATTGCCGACCAGTTTCACGCATTTCCAACATATTCTCACCACTCATACCATCATATAATTGACACCAATTATAACCATCGAGTAGTTGTTTCACACAATTCCTATCTTTCGTATTAACTCCTAATAACATATTCACCACTATTTCTAACCATAGAAGCAATCTCTAGTCAAATGCACTTTTATGTTACAAATACAAGAATTGGTCACATTTTTACAAAATACCATTTAATGCTATATTTATCAATCATTTAATTAAAAGTGTAAATTAAGTCAAACATTTGTATGACAAATAGCTTGTACCATTATTACTCGTTAGATGTAAATTACAAGATTTGAACGTAAGTTACAAGATATACAATTGGTCCTTAAACCAAAACCTCATGTATAAGTATTCGTATTGAATTTATTGAACCTCTAACTGGACCTATTTGCAATATTAGAATATGAGTTGCAAACACAAATGTCTCAATACTATGACATATGACAACAGATTCTGACTCTGACTTCACTCCACTCTTCACTACCTGTGCTCTCATTGTTTGGTCTCAACATTGAGTGAAACACTCAATACATCTAATCATTACTGTTGTCATTGCTTTCATATAACAGTAATCTTAAGTCCAAACAATTGCTATACTTTTGCAATGGAAACATGCATTTATTGCTGAGAAATAAGATTATGTAATAATTTAAAAACTTTTTTGTAAGCAATTTAATGAATTCATATTAGGCATTGAATTGAGCAGTGTGAGACAATGAGAATGACCAGGGTACATTGAAAAAACAATTTGATGTGATGTCCGCATACAGAGATACGACTGTAACTAAAGACCTTTACGAGAGAGGAAGGAGGAGGTCCTTATCATGTGCTACCACTGATGGGAATGGCACAATGGCTACACATCACTACCACACCAACCATACACGCCATACACACCACACACATACAGATATCATACACTAATACCCAACCGAACCACTATATTATCATCTCTGATGACGACTACCAGTGCAGTGGCTGCTATCACTATTGCCTACAAGAATGGGGTCGACTGACACTCAACTCAAGAATCACAGGAATGGCTATACATTGAATACTTTGGCACAAACTCTTGTGTGCTATTTGGCTACTTATCACCCATTTATGTCTTGTCTTTAATGTCTTATCAATGTTTGAATGCAAAGCACTCTTCAGTTGTATTCAATATTTAGAACCAATTATTCAAAGAATGAATTCTAGAAAATAGTGTTGATTTGAGTGCAAAGAATAGATTATCTGATGATAGGCTCGCAATCATACAATACTTATGAGAGACATTTGGTGACACCTCTGCTCTCTGTGGTTCATGTGATGGTTATGGCATACATTGTCTTATATAGCGATAGTCATAGTGTAGGAAATGTCAGAATAATAGGCAGAGAAGCGGTCGTATGTATGGTAGAGAAGAGTGCCTGAGTTGGTAAGACTGAGAGCTGGTAGGCCTGGTATGCCTGCATGGCTATGAGGTATGTTGTGGTGGTAGTGATTGGGATCAGTGTTTGTGCTGCCATTGCGACGACAAGGCGTGCCATTGGAAGGCCTGTTGACTGCAACAGAGCTGCTGCAAGCACTGCAAGACTCGACTCGTCAGTGGTGTGCAGTGTATCTGCTTTTGGGTGACGTCCACAACGACTCCACAAAGAGTGGTAGTCATCGATTCGTAGAGACGACGACTGACTGACTATCCCTATCCTGTTTGCTATACCTATACATCAGACAACTTAGACAACTCTGCAGAACAGAACTCAATGGCAAACAAATGGCACAAATGGCAACACCAACCATACCATACCATACCATACCATACAACCCATACAATCTTAACAACTATTAAATTTTAACAGATTTCCATTCACTCTACTCTTCACTACCTGTGCCCTCATTAGTTGGTCTCACATTCAGACTCATACTATCCCTATCCTGTTTGCTATACCTATACATCAGACAACTTAGACAACTCTGCAGAACAGAACTCAATGGCAAACAAATGGCACAAATGGCAACACCAACCATACCATACCATACCATACCATACCATACCATACCATACCATACCATACCATACCATACCATACCATACAACCCATACAATCTTAACAACTATTAAATTTTAACAGATTTCCATTCACTCTACTCTTCACTACCTGTGCCCTCATTAGTTGGTCTCACATTCAGACTCAAACATCTCGTCATTATTTTTTGTTAAATTAATTATTGTTTAAAAAATCTTAAATCCATACAAATTCTGTCACTTTTCCAAACATGAATTTTTTGCTTTCCAAAGATTATTATATAATTCCCAAATTGTATTTTCTCGAGTCATTTATTCTAATTAAATATCATACGAAAGCTATTAATAAAAGTAATGAAATTGTTTTACAGAACCAGACTTTTATATACAATACCAAAATGAGAATATCAAATATATTCAATGAATGTCCGCATTTACAGGGGAAGTATTTTTACAAAGTTTTCCTACAAATCAAATATTTTGTGAGTCTGTGTTCAATAGAAACTCATTTTAATTTCAATTCAAATGAGGATTATATTTGAAGTCATTGTAAAAAGTATTAGTTCTGAGAATTCATGTCAGGATTGATATCCAAAATAAACGTTTGCTTTTGAGAACTCATTCCTTACTGATCGCCAACTCTTTAGATTTACTAAAATAGATAATCAATACATCAATGAACTACCACATTGCTCAAATATAAAATACAACCATTCTCTCTCTCTCTCTCTCTCTCTCTCTCTCTCTCTCTCTCATGTAAACACTAATTTTAGAGCACATAGAATATTGTATATACCGGTAAAATTCTTTGTACAGTATTACATATCGGTAAAACTTATTCTAATTCTCAATATTAAACAATTTTTGACGTGAACTGTATTAATTGTACAGTACCCTATAATATATCAATATAGAAATATAAAAACAATATTTGTATTTTTACAAAATTAGATTAATTGACTAAAAATAAATGTTTTAATAATTAATTAAAATTAAAAAGATTACATCGGTAATATGCTAAATGCAATGTAAAAACTTTTACTTTTACTAAAAATACAATGTATTAACACAATGTAAAATTAAAAGTTGAATTCAATGGACTTAATGATGCAAATGAATGATTATTATAAATGAAATGTCGTGCAAACAATGTATACCATTAAGTGTTAACAAAGAAAGATTCAATTTGAAAGTCGATTGTCTGAAGTAATGATCAAACTATAAACCAAATCCATTTAATCATTTACTGAATACTGCATTGAAATATCAGTAAAAAGTTGAACCAATAGTGAGATCTGTGAGCGACAGGTGTCACAAGTGGCGATCGCATTGACAGTGAATTGCAAGCATTGACTCAATGATTGAATCAGTCATTGAGTGAGTGTTTGATTGCGTCTGAATTGAGTGAAAGTATTGTCTCTGAGATCAGCCATCACTCGGTCTATCCGTTCAGTGCATCCACTGTCTCATCATTTCTTGTGTCCATTCACACCATCACTTATATTGAGATCCGTTTGAATCACACAAATAATCGGCGAAAGAATGGCAGACAATAAGTTATACGACATCTTAGGGGTTAACCGAAACGCTTCCGCCAATGAAATCAAAAAGGTTTGCATATATGATATGTTTAGTCGATTCCGCGGTTAAGACATAATTGTCTTATTCGTGAGACTCTGATATGTGTGGCATATGACTAACCAATTGCGTGATGTGTACAGCAATACCGGAAACTGGCGAAGACATACCATCCCGACAAGAATCAGGACCAGACGGAGGGCGAGAAGGTATGTCTCACACGAGTCATCACTATTGGCTTCATTTGTGCCTTCCTTTCAGTTCAAAGAGATCTCTTACGCCTACGAAGTGCTGTCCGACCCTAAGAAGAAGGAGATCTACGATCGCTTTGGACTCAAAGGTCTTCAAGAGGGCGGAAGTGACGGCTTCTCATCGGCCGAAGATATCTTCTCTCAGATGTTTGGCGGCGGCGGACTGTTCGGTGGTTTGGGAGGCTTTGGGGGAATGGGAGGAATGGGTGCGACATTGGTTGACAATTCATGATTGGTTTGTAATACTAATGATACTAATGTTTAGGAGGAATGCGAAGACGGAGACGAGGAGAAGACACGATCCATCCGTTGAAAGTATCGCTCGAAGACCTCTATAACGGAAAGACATCTAAACTGCAATTAAGTCGAAATATCTTTTGCAAAGCATGCGATGGGTTTGTGTTTGTAATCATGTCTAATGACTGCTTACTAACTGTAACTCATTTCTGACTGTTGACAGCGTTGGTGGTAAACCGGGCTCTCGTGTCAAGTGTTTGGGCTGTAAGGGTCAGGGAGTGAAAGTGCATTTGAGACAATTAGGGCCCGGAATGCTTCAACAAATGCAGAAGCCGTGCGATGATTGCGGGGCTCAGGGAGAGGTGATCAACGAGAGAGACCGGTGCCGTACGTGTAATGGCAAGCGTGTGACCAATGAGACCAAAATACTGGAAGTACAGGTCGACAAAGGCATGCGAGACGAGCAGAAGATCACGTTTAGAGGCGAAGGCGATCAACAGCCAGACGTGGAGACCGGAGATGTGATTATTATTCTCCAACAGAAGACTCACGAGAAGTTCCAGCGAAACGGAAATGACTTGTATTTACCGCTAACTATCTCTTTGACGGAAGNAGACTGGTGTCTCAGATAGGCTGTAGTGATGTCTGAGAAAATGGCGGACTGTCTGTAGTCGTGATGAGTGGCACTACAACTGCAAGAGTGACTCTGACTCGCAGTGGTGTGCAGTGTATCTGCTTTTGGATGACGTCCACAACGACTCCACAAAGAGTGTGGAAGTCATCGATTCGTGCGAACTATCACTCGACTACTGCTGGCAATGCCTATGCCTTATGCCTATCGCTATCCTGTTTGCTATACCTATACACTAGACATGAGACAACTCTGCAGAACTCAATGGCAACCAAATGGCATGAATGGCATGAATGGCAACACCAACCCATCCAAACACACCAACACTGCACTCACTGTCAACCTCTCAGCCCTACCACTCATACAATCGCAGCACAGCATAGAGACAGCCATACAGTATAGCTCTCATTGCCGACCAGTTTCACGCATTTCCAACATATTCTCACCACTCATACCATCATATAATTGACACCAATTATAACCATCGAGCAGTTCTTTCATACAATTCCTATCAAACATATTAACTCCTAATAACATATTCACCACTATTTCTAACCATAGAAGCAATCTCTAGTCAAATGCACTTTTATGTTACAAATACAAGAATTGATCACATTTTTACAAAATACCATTTAATGCTATATTTATCAATCATTTAATTAAAAGTGTAAATTAAGTCAAACATTTGTATGACAAATAGCTTGTACCAATAATGAGCAATCTACATTTAATGTTCTAAACTTGCATTCAATGTTCTATATGTTAACCAGGAATTTGGTTTTGGAGTACATATTCATAAGCATAACTTAAATAACTTGGAGATTGACCTGGATAA